TCAGCAATATATAGCCTTTTGTCTTGAATTATGGAATTCTTCACTTGGTAGTAAGACAAATTGTTGATTGTTGCTGTAGTGTTGATCACCAGCTCCTCACAATCATCAAGTGACTTGTATTCTAAAACAAAGTGAGAATAAGGGAGTCGAAAACTCATTTCAGGGGTAGAACCTATGACATTATAACTGCAGCAACAGCAGTGCCAGGGACAAGCCACTGTTCCTAGCAAGGTCTACACAAGGGCACTGGAAGCACCATTTGCTGCTTTATTTCCTGTGACTCTTCCTGCAGGGAAATGCACCAAATGCAAGGGACCGCTCCTGGCCAGGGCAGGGAGAACACCCTAAGCTCAATCCCTGTGGCCAAAGGGTCTGAAAAAGTCAGGTTGATCTATGCTGTGTTTCCATGTAAAACAAAGGGGCCAACACACCAATGAGCTGAGACGTCTCTAACCCCACATTTGCCCTGTCCTCAGGCTCTCCCAGGGGCTCCCCTCATGGAGTCCTACTCTATCCCCCACACCCCCACCTCCGTCCCAACAGAATGATCCTTAGGTCATGCTCCACCCATGACTGCCAACTCTGCCTTCCAAACCCAGAATCTGATCACTTCGCACCTTCTCTACTAGCACCCCAGTCCATCTCTCACCTTGTACTGGTTTCTCTTCTTCCACTTTTGCCTCCGTACATCTATTCTCAACATGGTGAACTTTAAAAGTAAGTCACACAGCTTCACTCACCTCACCACCCACTGATGGCTCCACCTAGCTCGGCCCACAGGCCCTGCCTGGGCTGCCCGGTCTTCACTTCTCCCAACAAGGCCACTTCAGCCTCCAATGCCACCCACACTGGTCTCCTTGCTTTTCTGAACATGTCAGCAGGACCTGCCTGAGAGCCTCTGCCCTGCTATTCCTTCTGTCTGGAGTAAACTCTTCTTCCAGTTACCCACTTGGCTCACTCATGTCCTTCAAGTGGTTGCTTAGATGTCACCTTGTTCGACGTACTTTCCTCANAACACCAAGTCAAGGGTTAAGATCCCCTTACCGGTCATCTTTTTAAAAAAAAAAAAAAACTTATATTGGTAGCATTATTCTGTATATATCCTCCTATCACTAGCTTTTTTGCTCCTACATTATGTTTGGGGTTGATCCATGTTGATACATGAATGTCTAATTCATTAATTTTAACTGTTATAGGACATTTTGTTGCATGAATATGCTGTAATGTATTTATCCTCTTGCCTGCTGATGGACATTTAGGTTGTTTCCACTTTTAGCTATTACAAGCAAAATGTAACAATTCTAGTACATAAAGGAAAATGTCTCTTGAGTCCATTCCCATGACCAGAAATGATGAATGCAGATTATTTGTTTCTGTTAAACACACACGCACCATTTCAGAACTCTGAAAGCCATTCATGAGGGAGAGGGGGACGCTGCTAGTGCCACCTTGGATCCTGAGTTGGGAGCCTTATACATGGACACCACGTAAAGCACTACCTACCCATTTCAAAGCAGAATCAAAGTATCACATTGTAATGACCCAAGCTCCAAAACCACTTAGCTAATTATTGGCAAGAATTGAATGTTTATGAATGTTAAGTGTCATTACTCACCATTGTTCTGCACAATGAAATCGCAGATGTCATGGTCCTGGGAGAGATTTCCAAAAACTCGTACAGCCTCTAGGATTCCATCCATGTTGTTACTCACAAGAAGCTTTAAGAGCACTGAATTTGGTATCCAGAAAAAATCAGTGAATATGTTTTAATTTAAAGGCTAATGGAAACCAATATTATACTAAATAATGATAACTTAAAAATTAAAAATGATAATAAAATATAAACTGTAGGGGACAAACTGCAAGAACTAAGAAACTAATTTTCTCCCTTACTCTAATTTCTTAGAATTAGATCAGGCTCTAAAATATTTTTATTAAAATATCTTAATTATTTCAGAAAATATTGTCTACAGTTCTGTGTTTAATTAATGAAATCAAGACCTTAAATGAGCATTTATCCAAACCCAACTCTGAAACTTACATTCAGCAATATATAGCCTTTTGTCTTGAATTATGGAATTCTTCACTTGGTAGTAAGACAAAT